CGATTTTTTTTTATATACATACATTTTGGTGTGGGTGATTTTTTGGTTTGGGGGAAAAAAAAAAAAAAAAAAAAACATTGAATTTATTATTATGTGTACGTAATACATTTGTCCTTTTAAACAAAAACAAAAAAACATCATCAACATCAACATCAATCAATTCAATAACAAGAAAAATTATCATCAATTATTGTTTGTTTGTTTGTGTGGATGGATAATCCATAAAAAAATATCATCACCACCAATGATAATTTCAAATATGTTATGATTATGTTTGACAAAGAAATCGAATTGATTGTACAATTTGTTAATTGACTGAACATTTTTCTGTTTTCTTCTGACGACAATGATTCATAAACATCGATAAAACAGACAACAAAAAAAACAATTCAATTCGATAAATCAATTTGAAATGAATAAAAAAAGAATTTAATTTTCGTTTTTGTGTGTGTGTGATTGACAAACAGTTATTGGAAGACAAAAAAAAACTAGAAACAAATTGAAAATTTTTTCCTCATTCTCTTTTCTTCATTATTGTGGTTATCAATTTTTTTTTCGTTTCGTTTCGTTTTTGTTTTTTTCTTTGTTACTGTATTCTCTCTGTTCATCATCGTCATCATCATTATTTAAATCAATTGAAGAAAAAAAAACATATATCAAGATGCCAAATTTTTTGGACGCACCAGAAATTTTACCATTGCCTAGCTTGCAAACATATGCAAGTATTAGTTTTCTATTACTTAGTTGTGCTGTTTATTATGCATTTCAAGTGTCTTCCGGCTTGGAACCGGATTGGAAATTAAATGAATTTTTATTCATACAAACAGCTGTTAATAATAATAATCATAATAATAATCATAATCCTCATCATCAAGATTTAAATGATAATATTATTATAACTAATCAAACAAATATAACCGATACTGGTACGAATAATCATCATCATCATCATCATCATAATAATGGAACAATCGAATCATATGATGCAATCAATACATTACGTAATTTATTTATTGATTCATCATTTAAATATCTAAATGATTCAATAAAATTGAACGAATTGTTTAAGAATCAACGTTTTGTTACATTATATCAAGTAACAAATACAATGATTAATCAACCACTTTGTGTTTGGACATTGATCAATATGAGCTATTGTTTATTAATATTATTTGGAAAATTAATACAGAAATTAGTTTTTGGTGATCTACGTTCATCTGAACAGCAATTATTACGGGATAAATTTTGGAATTTTTTACTTTATAAATTTATCTTTGTATTCAGTGTTATCAATGTACAACATATGAATGAATTATTATTATGGTGTGCATGGTTTTCCGTACTTGGTTTTATGTTTTTATTAACAAATCTTTGTAAAGCACGTTATCGTTTTCTAGCAAATACGCCAACAATTTCACGATTAGCCCATATAAAATTGCTTACATTATTAATATCGATATTGATCTCAACATTACCATTATTTATAATTGGTGGTATTGTCGGTATTCATACTAGTTTTAGTATTGGTGCATTTCTTCTTTGTGAAGTATCGATGCTTTCATTACGAGCATTACATTGTCTTATACTTTATATAATACATTTATGGGATTTAAGTCGTGATTCAATTTGGGAAAAACGTACAACAATCGTCTATTATATTGAGCTTATATTCGATCTATCTGTTTTGGTAATCGATTTTTGTCATCATATTCATATGCTTTCATCTGGTAATATCATACTATCCGTATCAAGTGTTGTCATATTGATACAATTACGATCAATATTTACCGATATTATTCGTCGAATTAAAAAACATCGTAATTATCTACAGGTAAGAGTTATTCATTATTTTTCTCTTGTCCTTGAATCAATCTTTTTTTTTGTTGAATAAAATTTAGGTTTTAAATTTGATGGAACGGAATTTTCCTGCAGCATCACGTGATGAATTGAATGATGAAAATAATGATTGTGCAATATGTTGGGATCGTATGGAGAATGCCAGACGATTACCATGTGGACATTTTTTTCATACTGCATGTCTTCGATCATGGTTGGAACAGGATACAAGTTGTCCAACATGTCGACATTCATTACGACAACAACGTGATCAAACCAGAGCTAATAATAATGGTAATGATCGTCGTGGTGTTGCTATTCCAAATATAGCTGGTGGTACAGGTTTCGAAGATTTAGCAAATATTGCCAATTTAGCCGGTCTTCGTCCTGGTAATACAAGATTCTTTCATTTTGATGGTTCACGTTATGCAACATGGTTACCATCATTTTCGGTTGAAGTAACACGTCCCAATATAATGGATATTAATATAAATGCATCAGTAACACGTAATGAACAAACATTTCCCGATTATGCTCAACAACAGATTGAATATATGGGACAACAAGTGTTGGAATGGTTTCCACAATTTTCTCTTACATCAATATTGGATGATCTTCGTAATACTCGATCAGTTGAGGTTACAATTGAAAATATTTTGGATGGTCGTTTAAGGCCTGTTACTTCTTCTTCTTCTTCTTCTTCGACTGCAGCAACAACTTCTAATTCTACTAATAATAATGAATCCGAAGAAACAACACAACTGAATCAAAATGATACAAATTATAAGTAAGATTATTAATAATAATTTTACTGGAAAAAATTTTAATTATAAATTTTTTTCTTTAAAACAAAAATTATAGTTTATTTTCAATTGTTGGAAATCAAATTGCCCAAGAAGAAGAAGAAGATGATGATTCTGAATCGGATAATGATTTGATTGAAATTAATGATGATGGTGATTATATTGATCATTAATATTATTTATCGACCGACAATTTGTCTATAAATCTATCGCTGAAAAACAAATAATAATCGAGAATTGCATAATGGTGGATTTTTTTTCTTGTTTTCATTATCATAATCATCATTATCATCATTGTTGTTATTATTGTTGTTTTTTTTACTCAATCCAAAAACCGACAAACAAACGAAAAAGAAAACCAAACAAAAATATTATTTATTTGTTGATTTTCTGAAAACGTTTTTCTTTTCTATTTCTTTTTTTGTTTCACCTTTTTTCGCTCTCTTTCTTCCTTTCACACACTCTATCTCAATTTACCTTAGAATCATCATTATAATTTTTTTTGTTCAAAATCTTTAAATATTTCTTAAAAATTATGCCCCAGTTTTTTTTCATTCATTCATTCATTCATCTCTCATTCGATGAGAATGAAGAAAAATTTTTTTTTTCACTTAAATTTGTTTAGTTTTTTTATTATTTATTAACAAATCGATCCATTTGAAAAAAAATTGATGATAATTCGACAACAGCAAAACCCATCTCATACACTCATTCATGTCTATCTGATGCAAACAACCATTCTTGATATACAAAACAAAATATTATTAACAAAAACATTTTTTTCCTCAATAATTTTTTGATCATTTAAAATAGAAAAAAAAGAAGATCATTTATCATTTGTAAATATTTTAACTGAAATGATTGAATAAAATTTGGATATTTTTTTTCAAAATTCATTTTATTCTATGAATTGATCCATAACGAAAGATGGCGCCACTGTTTACAAAAAAAATATTCGAATGTATTTTACATCCTTTCATTTTGGAAGAAAATTAAATCTTCCAAAATGATGATGGTTTTTTTTCTGAGAAAAATAAAAAATATTGACTGACCATTTATGTAATGTATGGGAATCCTATCATCATTGAAAATCGTATTAAACAGTGAAAAAAATCCGGTCAATCGTTTTCAATTTTACATTCATCATGATCATCATTTAGATTGAAATTGATAATCAAATTTTCCCAAAAATGACAATATCATTTATATTTGGAAATAATACAGAAGTCATTATTATCATTATCATCAAAATCAAATCAAATCAAACAGAACCAATTATGTTAAACATTGATGACAACAAGTAATATTTTTTTCTTCATCCATTATAAATGATGATGATGATCATTATGAACGCCAACACACATTTGGAATTTTCTGATGATTTAACTCTATTTAGTGATTGAACAACCGCTTATCTATGTGACTAAAGATTGGAATAAAAAAGATTTTTTCGTTTTTGTTTTGTTGTTTTGTTTAATTCAATGCCATTCATAGTTTCATTCATTTTGTTGTTTTTTTGATGATAATCATCATCATCATCATCGTTTCCCACATAAAATCATGATGATGATCATCATTAGAATTCGTTCCTAGCCACACTAATCATCATTATTATTATCATCATTAGATTTTTCAATGAATAAAATCAACATTCTTGGTGGTCTTGGTTTTCTTTTGGTTGGCTGGAACTTTTGAAAAAAAACGGTTCAATTTATTTTTATAATATATATAGTGCTTTTGGAAGAACCTGATTCTATTCCACAAAAAAAACAAAAACAAAAGAAAACAAACAAATTTGATTTGTTAATCATTTTTCTTTCATTCATTTCTTTACCTGGTTTTTGTGAAAAAAATCATTTTAACCTGAACATTCGAACATTCGAACATTAAAGCGCAAGCGCTCATCGAACATCAAAAAAAAAAAACATCAACCGGGAGTTTGCGCATCTTTTTTTTCGTTCTGTTAACTTTATCTCTTCAACAATTATAGAGTCAGAATGGGCGTGTGTTAATTAGAAAAAACAAAATTCGTTCGAATTTATTTTAAATTTTTTGTAAAATAATTTGATTTTTGATTTTTTGTTTGTTGTTGTAAAATAATAAATTACACAATATGAATAATGTTCAATGATAAATGTTTTTTTGGTTTGTAAATTTTTTTGAAAATTATTATTATTATTATTAATGAAATATTTACAAAATAAATAATAAATGTAATACAGGTAGAGAGTATTGCTCATAGGTAATTGATTGTCTGTGATTTTTATCGTTTTGTAAAGTTTATATCAAGAAAAAAATCTTGATTTGAAAATACTGTAGGTAGGTTTATATGCGGGTGTATGAATTGTGAATCAGTGAATCAGTGAATAATGTCATGATCGGTTGCAAGTGATGATTGATATTCTGAAAAGGTGAAAAATATTTACAATTTTCAAAATCTGTACAAGAAAATCTTATTTAATTAAACAAATTAATTAATTAAGCAACAATAGGCATATTATTTGTAAAATTGTTAATCATTGTTGATGCTTGATAATGATGATGATGATTTGTTTGTTGTTGTTGTTGTTGTTGATGATAATGTTGTTGTTGTTGTTGATGTTGTTGTTGTTGTTGTTGTTGTTGTTGTTTATGTGGTTTAGGCATATGTCTTTTCATATGTAATGCTAAATGATCCGAACGTGCAAATGAACGTTCACAAACTTTACATTGAAATGGTTTAGCACCCGTATGTTTACGATAATGACGTGTTAATTCATCTGAACGTGCAAAACGCCATTGACATTCAGGCCATTGACATCTATATGGTTTTTCACCTGTTTGAATCAAATTAAACAAAAAAAATCAATCCAATATTAATTATCAAGTCATTGGCCATTATATAAATGGAAAGAGAAAAAAAAATCATCAAAAATTTTCATTCATAAAAAAAATTTATGATGATTGCCCAAAAGGCAAAAGATTTTAGGATAGAATACAAGAAGAAGAAGAAGAACCAGGTGAACGATATATATATAGAGACGATGTGATTATACTAATTGCAATCAACGTTTTCTAATCTTATTTTCATTTTCTTAGTTTTCGTTCAATCAAAAACGATTAATCATCACCATTCACCATGAAATGAAATGTGAATGAATATTGCTGAACAACAAGAAGATGAAGAAGAAGATGGAAAAAATTCACGCGTCATACTACTACTATCTTCTGTTGTTGCTATGGTTGTCGTTTTTTTTTTGAAAAAGATAAGATGTTGATGTTAATGATGTTTGTGGCTAATGGCTGGCTAGTAGATTTTATTTTTTCTATATCTGATCATGTCTGGTTGAATATGATCAGATGGAATTCATTGAAGAAAAATTTTCATTTTAAAAATTCATTCTTGCTATCTTTATGAGAAATTTTATCAGAATTTTTGTTTTTTGTTTTTTGAAAATTAATATTCCGGTTATGATTAGTTTTTTTAATATCAATATAATAACCGGATTGATGTTTACCAGAAAAAAAATTTGTTTTTTTTCGGTATCAAAAGGATTAATTTTGTTAAATTGAAAAAAGTAACTTACCCGTATGTATACGTTGATGAGCTTTCAGGTGTGAACTTTTTGTATAAACTTTTGTGCAACCTGATCAAGGGGTTTAGAGAAAAAAAATTATTCGATAAGATAATTGAATCGAGAGAGGGAGAAAGAGAGAGAGAGAGAGAGAGAAAGAGAGGGAGAAAATGAAAGAATTTAAAAGGTTTATCATCGTCGATGACCACCGGATGGTTGGAAATATAGCAAATTTTTTGCATTTTTAAAGTGAAAATTCTTTATTTAACACACTTTACAAATTCATTTTTGAAATATTTTTTCTAATCATCCGATATCAAATTACATTCATGATGATGATAATATAACGTGTGTGTGTGTGTGTGCTCCGCAATTTGTATTTAAAAAAACAAAATGAATATAAAAAACAAACATTATCATCATAATCATCATCATCAAAAACTTGAAAGAATTTTCATTCTTGACCATCCTGTTTGATGCTGATTATGTGCTAATAGTCTTCAATAATAATTATCTAATGATGATGATGATGATTTTACTACTGAAATGCTGAATTTCTATTCAAAAAGAAAATTTCAATGATAAACAAACAAACGAAAATGAAGAAGATCCAATTAACTTGTTGCTATTATCATTTGTCATTGTTTTTTTTTTGTTGTTGATGATAATGATCATTATCATCAACAACAAACGATAATTACACTAATGAATGTAATAGAAATCATTCATTTGAAGAAATGAAAAAGGAAACGGCTAAATGATGTCACCATTATCGTCACTATCACCACCATCATCTTCAGTAGAAAGTAGCGAAACATCAATTTGCTACACGCGATTTTTTTTTGTTTTTGAGAAACATTCCATTGATGATATGTGTTTTCATCGATGATGATGATGAGAACAACTTTTAAATACAGAAAAATATTTCATTTTACATTAATTATGGACAATGGACACTATCTATCACTAAAGTTGTAACAATTTTTTTTGTTTGTTTTAAATGAATGAAACAACCAAAAAAAAAACAAAACAAAAGATAATTATATTTGAAATGACAAATTGTCGTGTGTTTGAGTGATTTTTGTTGTTGTTGTTGTTGTCAAGTTAAATAAACCTCGATAAATTCAACATGGAATTTTTCAACATATGAAAATTCTGCAAATCTTTTTTTTTTCTTTTGCAACGGAAGTTTTTGTTTTGTTTTGTTTTCTGTCCATTGGTCACTTATTAAAATCTGGCTCTTGACAAGGCAATGTTAATTTTGTATACAGCTGTCCGAAATCTTTGAATCTATCATCCACATATAAACCCGAAGTTGTCCGTGTTTTCTCTTCAAAATGACAAACAACAAAAAGAAAGAAAGAGAAAAATTGTTTCCGATCATCAAAATAGGTCCGGAGATATTCACTTTCCCAAAATGCAAAAACTTTACTGTTCCATAGACTCGGTTAATGTGAAAGAAAAAATGTTTCATGGTCAATTTATTATTTGATTTTTTTTCCCATTACCATTATCGATATTAGTTGTGTATGGTGAGTGTGTGAAAGAGAGGGAAAGAAAAAGAAAGAAAAAAAAATACCTACTAACCTGGATAATCACAACGGTGTATACGACGTTTTTCTAGTTCAGGATTATTTCGTCGATTATATCTTGGTTGTGGTGTTATTAAAATTGTTGCTGCTGTATTTTCAATATAACGTGATCCTGAAACAGTACTGGAACTATCATTTTTACTACTACCATTATTATTATTATCACTTGTTGATGTAGTAGTATTAGTATTACTGTTGTTAGCTTGTAATACACCGGACGTACCGGTAAAAATTCGATGAGAAAGTGCTTTGACCGATGTTGATTGCCCGGTACTTTGTCGTTGTTGTTGTTGTTGTTGTTGTTGATTACCGTTTGCTATTGTTGTCGTACCGTTTCGATTCAGGTGTACAGTTTTTGCTATCGTTTTCGTTTTTTTCGTTGTATTGCTACTGGATGATGATGAACTACGATTTGATTGTGTTGTTAATGTTGTTGTTGTTGTTGGCGATAAAATTGAGGACACTTGAGAAAATTGGGCCACAATATTTGCCTGTTTCACACAGTTATTATTATCTGATGTATGATGATTATGATGATATGCAGGTGAACTTGTTTGATTGTTAATCGTGTGAACCGATGTTGATGTTGATGATGATTTATTTGATTGGTGATGAACGGATTGTTGTTGTTGTTGATTATTTGTAGTTGCAGATGATGATGATGATGATGATGTTGATAATGATGATGATGGTGAACCTGGTTCTGAACTAGGCGGTGTTGGTGGCATATATCTTGATGTTGATGATGATTGTTGATTTAATGTTGTTGTTGTTGCTGGTGGTAATCTAATTGTTGTTGGTGTTGTAAATGAATTATTATATAAAGAATTTGTTGATGATCCATATTGTTGATAACCGGTTGTTGTTGTTGATGAATCTAATGATGTTATTATTGATTCAATTGGATATTGTTGTTGTTGTTGTTGATGATTATTATATGATAACGCATCGATTGATCTTTGATCATTATTATGATTCCAATTTGTTACGGATTGTCCATCATATCCATTATTTATCATTGATGGTTGATAATTAGTACGTAAATTTCCATTCATCATCAATGGTTGTTGTTGTTGATGATGATGATTATTACCGATTGTTTGAACAAATTGTTCATAAGATGATGATGTTGATGAATTTGTAGATAAAATTGGATTCATCGATGATGATGTTGTTGGTACAGGAATAATTGTTGTTGTTGGAAAATTATTATTACTATTATCATACATATTATAATGTGATGATTCAATCTGTGTACTTAATTCTAGATTTGTATCATTCAATATTTGTGCTTTAAAATGCATTGAATCATTATTGGTAAATGTTGTTGATGATTGTTGTTGTTGTTGTTGTTGATAGTTACCATTATTATTATTATTATTATTATTATTTCGATTCATTGATGGACGATCCATATTTAATGATATTGATATCGATAATGATGATGATGATTTTGATTGTTGATCATTATTATTAAAATTATTATAATCAATCGATTTTGGTGATGATTTTGATTGTTGTTGTTGTTGTTGTTCAATCGGATAATTTATTGGATGTTGTTGTTGTTGATGAGGATGATGATGATGAAAACCGGACAATGGTTGTTGTTTTTCCTAGAATCAAAGAAAAAAAAGAAATGAAATTTTAAAGTTTAATTAAAGTTTTGAGGATCCAAAATATTTCTTTTACCCAAAATTTATCTGACAAATGACCTCAGCATCCTCAATTAAGGCAACAAAAAAAAAAGATCATTTGCAAAAAAAAACCTCGACATTTGGTCATAATTAATCGATGATTGGCGATAAAACAAGTGAAGTATTACAACAACAAAAATTGATAATTTATCAATGTTTTTTCTTTACTTCTGAAAATTTTTCACCTCCAAAAAACACATACACACCAACACCAACTTTGGTTATAATTAGTGTGGTGGATATTTCGTAGGATGATAATATTTTTTCTTTTTTTTCTTTAGTGTGTGAAATAGTGAAAAAAAAACAAATTATAATCAACAAAAATAAGGTGATGATAAGTCTATTTGGTCATCAGAATGCTGATCAGTAATAATTTTTTTTTACCAATCGATCGAAGATCGAAGATCAAAGAAATTTGATTAGATTTTTTTTCTTTCTCTCTCTCAGATCTGACATATCATGTGGATGTGAAACCAGAAAATATATTGATAAAACAAAAAAGCCGTAAGGCATATATTTATCCGAAAAATGGCGACCTTAACATTTCATTTTATAGCCAATTGAACCCCCAAATGAATGATGTTTAGATATTTGGAAAATTTATCTATTTTTTTGTGCTCTAAATTTTTTGTTTTAAAGTAGAAAAAATGAAATCGAAATTTTTCAATGATTTTTTTTCATTATCACTAGGGATTCCATCATTTTTTCGGTGAAAAATCATCAGAAGCTAGGTATTTTTTTCGGTTTTCTATGTGTTTTTTGACACAATTTATAACCTTTATGAATTTTTTTTTCATTAACATCTATCAATTTGCCACACACACACGTATGTCAGTTGGTCAACGAAATTGATGATGATGAAATATCGAAGAGAGGTGATCCACCACCATCACCACCACCAGTAGTTTTCATCATCATCATCATTTCGACATTGGATAAAAATAGACCAAACTTCAATTATTCACCGGAACATTGTCAGAAAACAGTGTCAGAACAACAAACACCAATTCTCATCATCACGATGAAAATATTTTCATTTTTGGATAATTTAAAATTCAGATAAGAAATTAATCCAGGAAACAACAAGTTTTTACCCGAAAAAAATAATAATCATAATAATAATGAATCATGGATTATGATGATCTAGATTAAGCAAATTTGTAACAAAGTAAATTTTGTTTTTTCGTTAAATACATAATCATAAAATAAAAGTCAAAATATTTGGATTTTTAACATTTTCTATTTCAGTCATAAGCGTCAAATTGGCCTCATAGTAAGCTCATGATTTATTAGGTTTAATGACGATCATGATGATCCTGATGATGATGATGGAAATTTCTGTCAAATTTAAAAAAAAATTTGTTTTCGTATATAAATAATATCTCACCATAAGATATACAGGAAAAAAGGACAAAGTAGAGGGTCTCGCGGAAAATTCACATAGATTGCGTATTTCTAGCTTATTGACATTGCTACGCTGGTGATTTTTGTTTTTCTTTAGAAACGAAAATCAATGGCAGCTATAATTTGTAAGTTATTTTTTTCAAACGAAATAAATGACAAACGATAAATTTCAAAATGAATGATCATAATCCGGACATAATTTTTCAAATAAATATGCACAAAAAAATGGAGGAAAAAAAAGGTGATTATCCAATAATCACCGCACACACACACACACACAAACATATAAATATTTACACTGTAATTGAATAACATCCGATTTTTTTCTTTCTAGTTTTTCTCGTTTTGTTTTGATAAATTTTTAATTGCACGTAAAAAAAATTTAAAGAAAAAACAGTGATTTACCGTTTTTTTCTTTTTCCAAAATGTGGATTAACAAAATAAACTTAATGATCATTATGATCCAGAACAACAAACAACAAAACAAAGCAAAACAAAACAAAACAAAACAAACATTCATTTTCTCTGGCACACACATACACACACAGGTAAAACTTCCGGTCTCGATTTGACCTTTTTTCCTTTATGTTTGGCTTAATCTTGCTTTTCAGTGTGTGTGTGTGTGTTGTGTGTATTCCAATAATGATTATTTAGTTTTTCTCTATTTAGCTTTCTTTTTGTTGTTTTTTAAAGAAACGATCGAAGAAAAATAAAGGTAGGTGTAATGATCATTCATAATAATGATGATGATGGTGATGGTGATGATGATCATTTCGTGATCATCATCTTGTCTTGATGTGAACACCTTTGATAGGTTTTTTTTTCTTCTCAGTATTGCAAAATATAAATAAATAAAATTTACAGCATGCGTAACACTTGTTGATAATGTTACGCATGCTGCTATTAAAGAATCTAAATTGCAATTAAAAAACAAACATTAGATTTCTGTTGATCAAAATAAAAAAAAGAAGAAGATTTTGAAGTAGCTAAAACACTTGTCCATCTCTCTCGATGGAAGTGTGTGTATGAGTTATGTGTGTCTTGTGTGTTGTTAGCTTAAGATGATGATGATGATCATCACCATCATCTTGGATGATGGTTTTTTTTGACAACCCCCTGATCATCTTCATTAATGATGATCTTATCTTGACCTTTTTCAAATAAGGTCATACAACAACGACGAGAAAAAAAGTGAAAGAATATTATCGGGATTCATTGATATTTTGGTAAAATTTTTTTCGGGTTTTTTTTCAATTTTGAAAACAAAAATTTAGACCTAGAATTGTTTTGTTTTCACTTCAGGGCTAATCGGGTTCAGCAAAAACAAAACAAAACATGAAAAATTACTTCAACAAATTGTTCAAACAATAATAATTTACACTGGAAAATTGGCAAAAAAAACACTTGACTAGAACAAAAAAAATTACTGGTTCTTCTACCTGGTTGCAAAAAAAATTATCATTATTTTATGACCATCTTCAATCAGCAATCAGTCATTGAAGAACAAAAAAAAAACTCTTTGAGTTCCAAATTTGCCCAAAGGAATAATTTTCTGGAATGATGAAAAAATCACCAAGCAGCAAACATATTGACCAACCGAAAAATATCATTATTGCTTTATATGGGCCTTTACCATAAAAAAATGAAAAAATTATTATTGGTGATAATTCAAATGATTCAATGATATTATAATCATTGTTTAATTGTTATTCAAAAAAAACATTCCGATTGATCTAAATAAAACAATAACAACAAAAATTATTTATTGTTCATTCATTCATTCATCATTAACATTTTTCGGTGTGTGTGTGTTTGTGTGTTTATGCGTGTAAAATCCAAATGTTTATGATTCTCGATTACATAGCCTTGAATGAATTTGATGAAAAAAAATTATATTGTTATATAAATATTATGGTCATTTTCTTTCTTTGATTGCGTAAATTTCAATGACACCACCACCATCATAAGTAACATTTTTTTTTTTTTTTTTTTGAAAGAAAAAAAAAGATCATTTATTTGATTGATTGATTGATACATTGAAATACAGGTAAAAAAAATGACTTTATGGCTTTTTTTCTTTTTTTTTCAATGAAAATTTCAAATTTTTGAATTTGCCACTCTCCTGTTTGTTTGATCAATTTTTCAACGAAAAAAAATAAATTATATAACTTTTCAGGTATTTTATAGCCATAGGTATTCTTGCTTTCTTTACAAATTTTAAACAAACACACACACACACACACAAAATCAAGAATCAAATTTGATTTTTTTCTTTTTGAAATTAACATTTATGTTTCGTGATAAAATGAATGGTACATTTAGTGTGTGTGTGTTACAATTGTACAGAAGCATCATTATCAGGTTGTTGTTGTTGTTGAACAACAACAACAATATCAGAATGAAGAAATTCCTGAATATAAAGCGAATTCGTTTTGGTATGTACGGTGTATGTTTTATTACCCGAATTTATTACGTTTTTTTTCCTCGATTCTTCTTCTTGTTTTTTGTTTCATTGAAGATCATCATCATTGATCAATGATGATGATCCATGGTAGATTTATTTTCAAATTAAAGAAAAAATTGTTTGTTTGTTTGTTTTTTGATTTGTTTGATTTGAATTTTTTTTACAACATGTTACTATATTTATATATCACTGGAGAGAAAGATAAACAAAAAATCAAACACCAATCAAACAAAATAACAGATAAAAAAAAGTATGAAGATAGAGAGAGATAAAATGTGTTTGATCAAGAAATTTTCTGTTTTAGCTTTATTATTTTTCATCAATGAAAAATTCCTGTTCTATCTTTATATATTTTGTTTCTATATGAAATAGGTTTTTCTTATTTATTTTTCGAAACAAAATCAATAAGAAAATTCCTTATATTGATTGCTGCAGAAAAACAGAATCGATAATTCAAATCTAAAAACAAACAATCAATGTTTTTTGGAAAAAAGAAAGAGTTAAGAATCAGTTATTTATAACTGTTGCTAAGAATAACCGGACCAAATATTTGATTTTCTCCTTTTCTCTCTCTCACACACACAAATAATCAAGAAAAATATGATTGAAATTCTTGATAATTATAAAGATAGTCAAAACCGAAAAAAATAACAAATGTCAACTTATCTAATCATTGATTAGTTGATTTAAAGTTTTTAACAGATAATGAAAATTCTGTTTTCTGTTTATTTATAAAAGTGTG